GATATATATAGATATATGTATAATAGAGTGACTTCAGTCTGCATCCTCTTGAACCAGTGGTCCTCAGGGCCAATTGTCCTCTACGTTTTAAATGTTTCTCTGCTCCAACACACCTGTCTTCCAGTCAATTAATATGACATTAACAGGCTTTCTGTAGAACTTGGCACACTAAAGTATATAAAACATCTATTTGTATAAAGTTTGCTGAACCAGGAACATATCTAAAACATGAAAAAAGGTCTGTGTCCAAATTCAGGGGCTGCATCCTTTRAAGACCAATTACGTCACAGCGATTCATCGAGGGTTGCCCAAATTCGAAGGCTCCTACAAATGCAGACCATAAATCCTTCTTTTCCCCCAAATTTGAGGAAGACAGGTTTGTTGGATCCTTCACAGTCCACCTAGCCTGGCCCTTGCCTTCCGCAGTTCCGCTTCAATTCTAGTTTCCCTTCACTGCACCGTCTGGGATTTCTCCCACAGACAAGGATTTTTTCGAGAGAATTTTCGTCCGGGCCAATCAGAGAACAGAATGTCGATTTTCTGCGCAGTTTCTGCTTGTGGTTTATTTTACCTGGGCCAATCAGCAAACAGAAGGTGTAGTTTTTAATGATGTTGATTTCCTGCACAGTGTCTGCTAGCATACGGCAGTGGAGGAAGTGAATGAAGCCAGTCCGTGTTGATAAGGCTTCCAAATTAAAATAAATTTGTCTGACAAAGCAGCAGTTCTCATTTACAGCCGTCTCGTTCGGCTCGGTACTTTTCTCCTCTCAGTAGGGTTGTTTACAGCGCTCGCAATTTCTGGTTAGCTTCTTAGTTTAGCCTCCTTCACAGTGACATATGTCACGGGCCAACAGATCCAATCATTTTAAACTTCAACAGAGGCCACGCCTCTAGCAAGAATCACTTCTCTATAGCCACGAGTTCAGACCCTCGAACGAAGCAAAGTGAAGGACAAGGGTCTGCTTTTTACTAGGCTACAGTCCACCCTACCCTAAGATGCATTATGGGCTGACCCAGAGATTTTTTTGTTTGTAATGCCGGATGAAGTGAGAGACAGGAAATCTGTTGATACAACAATCAGAAGTTTAAAGCGACTGTGTTGTTTGGTTTTTGTTATTTCCATAGGCGTGTTTTTTTATATTATTCTTGTCCGAAATTATTGTAAACAACCTCATATGGTGGGTCCCTTAGTTCTACATGTTTTGCC